TTTGAATGCAGGGGCCGCAAAACGGAAAATTTGCATGGGGGGGGGGGCCCACCTATAGTCACGTGACGGCTCTGATCTGAGGCTGAGATGTTCGAAAAATGATTTCCTCAGTTTGCTGGTGACACAAAATCCTCAGATATTTTTTTTAAACTTTTCTCTTTAGTGACCATGGTGGCAAGTGAAGTCAGTCATTCGTGCCTGAGTTCAGTCATTTGTGTGTGAATTCAATCACTCTTGTGGCATTTGACATGATCATTATTCGGGAGTTCTGTCTTTGAAAAGGTTTCTTTTCCATTATTTTCGGGATTCGTGACACTAACAAATTCTAAAACCGCTGATTCGGCTGACATAACAATTTGAGAAAGCTGTTCACGCCATATTTTAAAAAAAAATGAGTTTGCGCGATTTCTTTGTTGACGCAGCCCCATGAAATTCTTTGAACTGATTTTTTTTTAAATGGAATACTTGAAATGAAGCAATTTTTTTTTCCTGCAAACTCCAACGTAATTGTTAGGGACTTGAGTGTATAGTGTGATTGCGCGTTGGTTTGAGATTATGTGTGTTGTTTTATCTATTATTCTTAGTATCTTGTGACGTATTGTGTGGAAAGGGATATGACGTATTAGTATTGTAGATTTGGGTGTGGAGTGCTTTTCTTTGATTACAGTAACGGCAGTCGAAGAATGAGTTGATTAATAAAGATATTTCATCTAAGATTTATAGTTGTGAAGTGTATATAATTAAACCCCACTTGACAACGAAGCCAACGAACCTATTAAGTAAGAATAGGTTTGTAACAGTGATGTCCTCAAGATAATTCTTCAGATTAAATCTTTGTCAATGTCCTTTTATTTGGTACCTATAGTGTTTAGAATTCAGTGAGAAACCTGATTAGATAATTAGAACTTTCTTGTATGCATCCACACGAGCAAATCTCACAAATCAACTTGCATGTAACATGATGCACAGGAAAAGGAACGTTACAGCATTTTTTGTTTTCCTTGATTTTGTTTCTCTCCTCTGAATTCTTTAAGTAGGCCTGTAACCTGTAATGGTCGTGTATGGCAGAGGCTCTTAACTTTCTTATGCCGCGTAGTCTCTTTCAAATCATTGGACGCACTCGCTCCCTGTCTCTACTTCAAAACATAGTTCGCGCTCATCAACGATACAAAATTGCTAATAAAAATGCAAAAGAACTGGATTTTGTAGGTCTCGCACCTGCACCCCAGGGGCGCACCTGGTTAAGAACCGCTGATGTATGGAGATGTCATCTTTCGTGTTCTCGCATATTCAAAATCTCAGCTATGATAGCCAAGCATGAAGTCGCAGTCAGTTTGGCACACGACATTAAGTTTTGTTGATGACAATACATAATTATCCATCGGTATGTAGTAAGATGTAAAACAAAAAGTTCAACATTAGTTAAACTGAGTGAATAATGAATGTTCATTTGTTTGTCATTTTTTACCAAATACCATCGCCAGTAAAGATGGTAGAATTTTCATTTGGCTACTACACGATGTTATTGTAAAGATGATCCTATTCAGTGGCGCAGCTAGGTGGGTGCGCACCACACCGGGTGACACCATCTCAAGGGGTGACACCAAATTGAAACGTTGTATATTTACAGAGCACACAATTATCGGTCTAACCAACTATCATAAAAGATAAACGATCACACTTACATTTTCCACACATGTAAACAATCCAAATGCGTGCTTAATTAAAATGTAAATGATGATGCGTCAGAAATGAGCATGCATCATAATTAGGTCAGAAAAATACAGATTTGGCCATGATTCAATGCCGATTGAACTTGCGCAAGTGACGGAAAATTATTATTTATCTAAATTATGAGAAATAAAATTTTTCATTGACATGGTCATACGATATGGTAAGGCGATTCTAATTACATGAATCTATAAATTTAAAAACATTTTTGAAAAAATAATTTTTACCCATTTTAGGGTAAACAAAATGATAATTTACAAAATGTTCTTTTATCTTTTTATTTGAAAATCATTTACACCTATTTAAATTAAAAATTGGTTTATGAAACCAAATCTATCGAAACACAGAAGTACTTAAAAATTAACATTTTCGCCTATTCGTCACTAGCATCGCCCCTTAAAATTTTAGCAGGATTGTCATTGTTCGACTGCTGGTTTTTTACCTGCCAACTTTGTGTGGTGCATTTTGTATAGTGCTCTGACAGTTATTTTTCTTCTTCTTCTATATCTTAAGGGCCCACGATCAATTTATTGATCATTTTAGCTCCTATGCATGTAGAGAGGATTTGCAATGTTTCTGAGCCTCGTGTTGATGAGGAAATTTCACTGACTGCAAGGGCTACTTTGTGAGGGAATCATGCACTGGGGGTTTGAAGGCTTGAGGCAATAGATGCAAATGTGTCTAGTGTTGTCGTCTCAACTGTTCCTTTTGAAAGATTGTTCCAGTCCTGATTGTCTTTGGCTGGAATGAGCAGTTCATATACTGGTTTCTTGCTGGTATGAGCCTGAATTGCCTGTCATGGCCTCATCGCTGTCTATGAGGGAGAGGGGCGAGTTTCTGTTTAATAGTGGAACCATGGACCAGCCCATTATTTATCTTGTACATATATCATAGAGAGCCTGGATAGTCGTCGTCGTTCCTCCAATGGTGACCAGCCCAGTGTTTCTAGCATGCTGCCAACACTAGAGGTATTCCTGTAGTGGTTCAGGACAAAGCGTGCTGCCCGTCGCTTGACCGCCTCCAACCTGCCAATGTTCTTCTGAGTAAATGGGTCCCAGACTGAAGATGCATAATCTAAAACCGGACAGACAAAGGCTTTATAGGCTCTTTCTTTCACACATGAGTTGCCAATCTTTAGATTACGCCTTAAGAACCCCAGGATCTTGTTTGCCTGGTTACAAACATTTTTAATATGCTCGTCCCAGCGGACCTCTCTTTGAAAGTACCCGGGTACTTTACGGAGGAAACTGGCTCAAGTATATAATTAATATGGCCATGCAGTTCGTATTGGTAGTGTAGATGAGTACAACTTCTAGAGACTCACAGTGTCTGGAAGTTGTCAGGGTGAAATTCCATGTCCCAGCTCATCTCCCACTCAGCTAACCGATTGAGATCCTGTATTAGCTGGTCCTGGTCAGATCTGTTGGCGATCGTCCTATACACCGCCGTGTCATCTGCGAACACTCTTGCCTGGGATGTCAGTTTCTCGGGTAGGTCATTAATGTATGCATGAAACAAACTGTCGTAAGTAATTATTTTGTTTGTTGTCTTGAGATTGGAAGAGATAGACGTGGAAATACACGCGAAAGACATGGACATGCTAGTAAAAACATATGATTTGGAAATGGGTGCTGACAATGTCGATTTAAACCAAGTTACTGTAAACGTAATGTTTGAGAAAAACTGGAATATTTTATCCGATTCTTCTCACTTGAATTGGCCAGTATTATTTTGGTTTACTAAATAGTGCGTTCAAATAGAATTTTGAAGAAAGAAAATGATGAAAAACTATTTACTATCCACCGTGGAACAATCAATGCGTTCTGATCTGACTCTACGGTACTCTACTATCATTTGAATGTGTCACGGCTACGGTGAAGGATATGGATTTTAATCAAGTGATATACAGGTTTGCAGCTTTGCAGACCAGGAAAGGGACATTTTAAATAAAGTAAATTTAATGTAAAAATAATTTCAACTTAGCGTTGTTCAAGTTCTTGAATTCATTTACCCCCAGAGCTTTAATTAATTTGTTTTTTGTTCTTGTCATTTTTATACAGTGGACTTATTTTAAAAATTAAAAAAAAAAAAAAAAAAATGACTCGTTTGGGGGGGGGGGGGGGGGGGGGGGAAGAGACTGACAGCATGAGTTTTCCACGCCGGGTGATACCAACCCTAGCTACGCCACTGATCCTATTATTAAGATAATTTTACTTTTACTGATTAAATTCATATTTTGTTTTACAACAAAAGCATAGACTTAAAAGTTCTGGTTCTGATTCTGGTAATGTTTCATTGCTGCATCCATGTACTGGCATTTTTGCATCGGTTGGGGGTATGATGTTGCTATTCTAACAGCTCCTAGCTGATGCCAGGGCAGCCTTGAAGCTTTCGACTGATGTCGAGCTCACAGTGGCATCGTTCAGGTTGTTCCATGCTAGCATTGTGCGTGGGAAGAAAGATTGTTGATACTGCACTGTGTTGCACTGAGGCACTTTGAAGCATTTGCTATTGTTTCTGGTGTAATTGTTTATGGGAATTTCAGTGGTGAAGTCCGTGTTCAGTGAGCGTTTTGCTCTGATCAGTCTACCCGGCTTCTGTGGGGTGAGGTACGTGCCTGCTGGGATGGCCGGCACCAGTCACATGATCACTTTAAATAAGAATGTCAGGCGGAGTCCCTCTCGTCTGTCTTTAATGGGAGGGATGTCAAATCTTTTTAAGAGGCCAGTGACGAAGCCAGGAGTGGTGGATTTGTAGTCGCGAGCGATAAAACGCACCGCGTTACGTTGAATTCGCTCCATCGTGTCCACGTCTTGCGTAAGATGTGGGTCCCAGATGATCGCACCATATTCCAGTAATGGATGGACGAGTGCGAGATAGGCATTCCGTTTGCAGTGGCGCAGATTTCTTTGGATGCAGTTTTATGTAAACCTACAATAAACAGAATTTGGTCACAAAATTACGTATTCAACCGTATTACATACTACTTGTACATTAAAAATATACCGTAAAAATGGTCAAAATAAATCATATTTTCATTTATATTGTAGACTATATATTTTTAATTCATTGCGCAAAAACGAATCTATAAGATGTTTATTTTTTTCCCATATTAAAACTGTATAATTTTTTTAATTAAACAAAATAAATTGTGGTCGCCGCTGAGGCTACATTCATTCATTAATAATTCATCCCTAACGTGTGGACAGAAGCATTGCGATCTAATCATAATCATAGCACAATACGCCTATGACTATGACGTTTTTTTTAAGCATCAACGCGTAATATGAACGAAGTGACTGTTCGTACCCGGATACCAGAGGTGAGAAGTTGGGATTAAAAAACTATTTAAAATAATATTGTTGGGTTTGTAAGACAAAATGAGGAATGAAATGAAAGATAATTGAATTTAGGCATGCCCCCCCCCCCCTCCCCATCATAAGAATCTAACTAATAACCCAATTTCAAGAAATCAAACGAACTGATCCTTTATGTCAGCGTTAAACTATTTCTTCGTCGAAAAAGGTTCAAACTGAATCTGATTCATCAGGAGCAGACTTATTAAGAAGATAGACGACAAACGATCCGATTACCTATTTAGGTAAGATCATTCATGAAAGTAACATTGACGTAAAACTATTTTTTGTGTTGTTTACATTTTAAAGGCGAAGTTAATTTAGAAGCCAACTATTTTTCTGGCACCAACTGTTTTCTTTTCAATGAAAACATGTAGGCCCATAGTCTATAGTATTTAAATTTCGTTTAAGTTTAGGCTAGGAGTCTAGAAAGAAAAGCCTAATTTTTTTATTCCGTCATTTTATTTTAATACTCATACAACTAATTATAATATAGAATGTAGTACTATATTCTGTGTCGTAAGTGTACACTGTACTGTACTGTAAATACTAATTAATGGCTCGTTTCAAACACAATGGCCTCAATCAAAAATCAATGGTGTCAGTCAATCAAAATCAATGACAATGGCCAATGGTGTGTACGATTTCTTTCTCCACTATAGTTTAGACGGTTAAGTTAAGTTTATTTTAAATTTTCTCTATCTACTTGGTACCAACTGATAAAAATCATTAACTGTCTCTAGTTAGTTTGTAGTTAGGGCTACCTTAATTATTATTAAGTAGGCCTATTGCCTATACCAGCCCACCGTTAATTAGGCCTAGAACACTACTCTAGTTAGGGGCCGTCCATAAAGTATGTCACGCCCACGTTATTTTTTACCATTTTTACCCCCCCCCCCATGTCACAAACTGTCACAAATCTCCCCCCAATGTACATCACAATTTCGAACACATTTTTTTTTAACTAATTGAAATTTAATCTAAAACACACTTCACTATTAAACTGTATTAAAATATAAAATTTCCACTTAAAAGAACTATCACATTATTAAAATGACTTTAATAGTAGAATAGTTAATTGTCAAAAGTTGTCACTGTCATTCATTGAAGCAGTAACTCAATCTAGATTGAATTTGAAAACAAATATTGCAAAAATTAGACTAGACAATTATATAATACACATCATCTATCAATCTATCTGCTGCTTTTTCATTTACAAAAGTTGAGGTCAAGTTTTACATAATCTTCCGATTATACAATCTTTTTACACAGGATTAGAAGTAGATTAGCGAAACTTGACCTAACCCAGTGATTAAATAATAAAAAGGACAGTGTCATAATTATGCAGCTGACAACATAGAAATAATAATACTTCAGGAATGACGAAAGCAAGGCTATACATAAAACAAGGCTTCGCAACAGCATACTAGCGTTCTTAGTGAGATGAATCGTGAACAACACATTTAGGAGATAGGCATTTCATGCTATTTTGACATAAAACTATTTTGAATGTTTCACAAAATTTTTGAAAATTATTTTTAAAGCTATTAAATTCTACTACAAAAATAAAAAATAAATTAGAAATGAAATTTTTAAAAATTTATGTGTGATGTCACACATGGCCTGACCCCCCTCCCCCTGTCACAAACTGTAACACTTTCTTACACCCCCTCCCCTTCTCTGGAGCGTGACATACTTTATGGACGGTCCCTTTGGTCATATTTCCCGGTTGGACCAGACTGGGATGGTCTAGAAAATTTGAATTTTATAGGCGTCAGTCAGCTTTGAAAGTCAGTCCCTGTTTCAGTCTTAGTTTTTTAGAAATTTATTTGTTATATTATTTCTATTTATTTTAGGTAGTTAAGGTAGTTTTATAACATTTTAAATATCAGAATTTTGTAAGCCAATGACAATATTATGTATCAAATTCCATTTTGGATGATTGATGTAGTCTAATGTAGTGTAAATCTAACAAATGAGGCCTGAGCAAAATGTTCTGTCTCAAGTCTACAATCTATGAGTATTACCCCCCTCCCCCACTGCCTCCCTTTCCCATGAGAAGAGATTAAAAGTATGTGAGAAGTTACAATCAGTAATTTTATTGACTGTAATAAATTCCCCCTAGGTCTAAGCCTAAGGGGCCATCTATTAATGTCTTACTAATACATCTTGTAGGTAGGGGTGGTCATGAATCTGTGAAATGTTTTATGAGGGTGTCTAAATTATGGAACAAATTTGTGATGATTGGGAAGAGTGGTAAAAAAAAATGCTCTACAACTGTCTAACATTGTGATGTCAGTTATGGATGGACCCTAACTGAGCTGTTTAGAGATTTTGGACATAAAGAAAAATTTAAATGGCTACCATTTGAGGCGAAAGAGCCCCAGTTTGCTCTTTTGTTTATGTTAATTTTTAAAATCATCTACTGAATAATTATTATTTACTGAATAGTAAGCAAAATAAAAAATGTGCAATGAAATCACTAAATAATATACAATTATTTCTTATTTTCAAAAAAATGATAATATAGTTATGAATTGGCCAAATTTGTCTCCAGTCCCATAACCAATAAATTTAGACCAAGTCCACCACTGATTAAAAGTATTTTTTAACTTAATGTATTATAATTCTAAGTATGTGCTTTTATGTTCCCTATATCATAATTCTGCACTTATATAGGAAGTTTCTGGAAATATTTATTAGTTATCTTTAAATTTAGTTACAATTTTTACTTTAATTTCAGCATTTTTTTTTTAAGTTATTGCTATGAAATATGTTATATGAGTCTGTCCCAACATATTTTTTAATTGATTTTTTCCATATTTTTCATCCTCTAAAATTTATTTGTTTCATAAGCATGCGAACTGTTGTAATATTGGTGTATCCATCCCAGTATGAAAATACAGATATCACAATAAACCTTCAATTATTTGGCAATTACATCACTGTCAAAATTAAAACTTTCTTTTTATTTAAAAGAATCAGTGTGATTAAAATTAAAAAAGAAAATATTTTTTTTTCTTATTTGTCATGAAGCAGCACTGTTTTAAGTCATCATTTTCATATAACTAAACTAACATTGGATTTTTTTTTTACTTTATCAAAACAATTTATAAAATTATAATAATTTGTATTTGTGACAAGCAATGGATTTGAACAATACATTCTGTCTGCTCATTAGCACAAATCCGTAACCTTACCAGGGCAGGGATATGGGCAGGGATATGCAAGATTTTACCATCTTTTATAAAGTTCTTTTTTTAGTTTGTTACATTGTATTGTATTTTTTTAAAATTCTACATGCAAACGGAGGGCATTCCAACTTTTTTTTCATACAGCCCTTTTTTCATACAGCCCTTTTTTCATACAGCCCTTTTTTCATACAGCCCTTTTTTTGTCATGCAGAACTTTTTAAGGCCATATAAACTATGTCACAGTGCAGCACAAATATTGAACTCAGGAGATTATTAGGTTTGCAAACAAAGGGTAGCATAATAAATGTTCTCTTTCCTTCAGCTAAATGATAGTAAAATGATAATATCACTTGTGAGTGTTACTTGTCTGTGTATGAAAAGATTGTTGACTATTCCTCATTTTAGGTTTTCCTCATAAGAAATTAGTCTTACGAACACGATTTGATCTGTTTCCAAATGAAATAAATTTTGTCTTTTGTCATCCTTACTCAAGAAATTCCCTCATGGTTTAGTTCAGGGGGTCCTCAGACTATTGGTATTCTGTACCAATTTGATACTGGTAGTAACCAATAATTCATGTAACACATCCGCTAATTTTGCAATGCACATATTTTTTTTTAATCACTATATTCCACTTTATACAACATAATGTATCACCAGGGACTCTCGAACCATAGTTTGAGAAATGCTGCTCTAGTTAATAATTGAGTATTATGGTCTAGTTAAGACAACATTCACTATATACTGTGGTCTAGCTAAGACAACATAGGTTGGGTAATGTAGTCTGGTTAAAAAAAAAAATTAGTTGTTCAGTAAAGACTAGTTAATAAAGCTATCATTTAATTAACTAGCTTAGTGTAATAAACAAAGGGGATAATAATCATGTTTTAAATATAATTTCAGCTTATTATCTATTTGTTTAAAATTATTGTTACACATGTGATTTCATTTTTTTAAATGAACATGGGATATAATTTGTGAGCCTATCATCAGCTGTTAATAGGCTAATCTGTTTGGTAAAATGCAGTGATGATAAATACTCTGTATAATTAAAAGAATGATTTATTAAAATTTATTTGTACATATGTGTGTCTCTTTTATACACTGCAAACAGAAAAACAAACATTTCTAGAATTTTAAGATTTTTAATAAAGATTCGCTTCTAAGAATTTGAATTTTTTAGTAAAGTGTTTCCCAGCTATAACTTGTGTAGTAATTATTAAATTAGTGATCAACAGTTGAGGTCATGGGCATTTGTGGGAGACTGGTCTCATTGTCACGCATTCCTGTCCTCGGAAAAGGACGGAACCTTTTGCTTAAACCGGCCAGTCAGAGGAATAAATGCGACCGTAAGTTGAGAGAAAGACCAGAACACATAGTGTTGCGGGTCAAACAGGAGTGAATCTAGTGCATGACAAATTGTTTCATTTCTAATCCAGTAATTCAAGGTGTGCTCTGTGCTCTCACTAGTAGCCTGTTCCAAAAATAATGATTTCTAACGATGTGACCTAGGCAGAATTGTGTGGCTAGATTGTCTTAGTGTTGATGGTTTTTGTCTCTGAGCTTCCTCTGGTCACCTGGTTATACTCAAGTGATAAGTACTTTTTGTTACCGGTACTCTATTGTTCCTTATCAATTTGATAACTTATTGCAAATGTATCACTTGATTACTGTGTTTCTACTTGCCATTTTAATTGAAAAATAATTCATCAATTCCTCCCTCTCCCCAACCCTAATAAGTCGTAAGTCCTCTATTTTATTTGTGTTAAATTATTGGGTGAAATATGTAGATAAAGGAAAACTATTTTTAAAATTAAACTGTATATTTTTTTTTAAATTGGGTAGTATTAAATTATGTTAATTGAGGAAGATATAAGATATTTACACTAACAGCATCCTACCTCTTGGGACACACAGCATGTTTTCATTGTTAATATTCTGTTTTAAAAAAAAAAAAATTTTAAATGAATAAACATTAATAAGTACTGTAAAAGAGAACCAAAAAAATCTTATTTTGATTTTGTGGCTGAAACAGGAAATGTCCCATTTCATGATAATGACTTTGTGGTCATTGTAGATGGACATTTTTCTCACCATTGATTGAGTGCAGAGCTGTCGGTGACTCTTAGATGAGGCCCCTTGCAATGTTGTGCACCCTAAAAAACTTCCACTTTGCAACTTAAGGCCCCTTAAATATCTGAGGCCCCTTCGGCTGCAAAGGTTGCAGGGCTCTCACAACAGCTCAAATTGATTATATTTTTTTTCATGCTCCTCTTCTTTTCAGACAACTGTATATTTGCCTCTTATATTCAGATAACTGTGCATTTGCCTCTTATATTCAGACAACTGTGCATTTGCTTCATATATCCCTTGGCTATTTTTCTATTTGAAAGAGAAAATCATGTTTTAAAAGTTGACTAAACAGATAGTTTATGACATTTAACTGTAGCACAGGAACTTAACATGTTCAAAAGCAATATTGTAGTTGTGCAATTTTAACTCACAGACCTAACTGGTACCTCTTATTTTCTTATAGTTTATTGCAATACTGACATACCCTGCATTTTTTCTTGAGGGTTTCCCAGTGTTGACTTTTTGGCATGCTAAGTTGATTAATAAATTGAAAAGCCTCTTGAGATTCCATGTGGCATGTCAGTGGTAGGTAGCCATGATAGCTGGACAGGCACTGTGTTGCCATCTGATTAAGTTATGTTGTAGCTATATGTGAAAGCTTCAAACTGCTGTGTTACATATGCTGTGCAAGAGTTATGGTTTTGCATTGATCTGAAGACTTCATGAAGTTTTTTTTGCTGTGGTTTGATGACTTTATTCCTAGGACAAAGAAGCTTTACTCTAACCGACCAATGATATTACCCCTGCTCCTTTGTCTTCAGGCATGGCGGATGTTCACCTGGTCTTCTCGTATGGAACCCTCAAGTCAGGTGAACCCAACTTTGCTGTCATGAACAATCCAAAGACGGGGAAGTCAACATTTGTTGGTGTCGGAGAAACTGTCAAACGTTACCCGTTGGTGGTTGCATCACAGTATGCGGTTCCATTTCTGCTGCTGGTTGAAGGAAAAGGGGAGGTAAGTCTTATCAAGCTTAGAAGAAGAAAATGTACATATTTCCAAGCGTATGTGGGCTGTTTCCAAACACTAGGATACATTTTTGCCAATTTAGTTAGTACGGTTAATATTGTCCTAGTTAAGTTTTCCAAATGTAAGTTGTCCGATGGCTCTGCTACAATTTGTTTTCCCTGAAAATTTGTCACAATACGTTCATGAAGTTCTCTTTTCATCGAGGCTGATGAGCTGTCACAATGTTCTGTTGCATTTATAATAGTCTCTGCTAACAATGAGACAATGTTTTTGTAATCTTATCAGGGAATCTCAAGTTGAGATACTTAGGTCTAAAGTCCTGAAATCGCAAAATAATTTTATAATCATCAATGTATTTTCATATCAGAAAAAATACATAAGTTTTGACATGACTTGAGAATTATTGAGCCCAATTTGCATGCAATGACCCATTATAAATGTCATCTCACTGCAGAATGTCCAAGGGGAGATTTATGAGGTTGATGATTCCAAGCTCGCCTCCCTTGATGAACTTGAATGTCATCCAGATTTCTACCACAGGGAAATAACCCAAATAGCCATGCATGAGGACAACAAGGGCAACAAGCTGAATCCACCCGAGATCAGGGAATGCTGGGTCTATTTCCTGCCCCGCTACAAACCGGAGATGATTGATCTCCCCTACTTGAAAAATTACACCTCCATCTCAAAAGATCACCCACCCTATGTAGAAAGGTACAAACGAGAAGGACCTTTGCAAGAATTAATTTTACCTTGAATCTGTTTTTAGTTATGCACACCTACCACTACAAGATTTAGTAGACAGTTATTCCTATGGTAGCCTTGCTGTTACTTGTATACAACATGTCACCCTACTTGAATGTATATCCGTCCAGGGTTTGATCATGCAGACATATCACAGATTATGGATCGCTGGGTTTATGTTATTCTTACAGCATGTCTCTTCCAAGAGAGGCATCTTCTATTGTCATGTACATTAAATAAAGCCCACAAAAACTCATGGATTATATGTTGTATTCTTTTGTGCTGCTTTCTGTAGTCTTTCTTTGGGATAATTAATGCAGCCATTTATGACGAAATGATAAGATACTGTGACGTGCATGCCCATGGTGTGGTTAACGAAATTATAAGATACAGTGAAGTGCATGCCGATGGCATGGTTAACAAATTTTACTATGAACTAACAACAATTTTTGCACAAAGATTAACTGGCATGTGGGCATGAGGAAGCCCATGACTTGCGTCGACAAACTGGTTTAGATCAATAAGCTGCAAGTTATAGATCTGTAAGCTGCTGAAAGTTGATAGAAAATTAGAGATGACTAGGCAAATTAATGAAAGTAAAAAAAGTACAACTTTTGATATGTTCATAGGTAGAAATCAAATTTTAAATGTTAACTTTCGTTTCAGATTTTAGTTTTTTTTTAAAGTGTAATTCTGTAAAATTCAAAAACAAAACATTAAGTTTGGTCAAGCTTGTTTATAAACAGAATAAAACAGCATATGTTTTGTAAAAAGACAAAATAAAATTTTTAAAGGGCCCTTTTTTTACAAGTTTAAAATGCATTATTATTTTTGTATGGGGTGCAAGACTAAGTCAAAAAATTGGTGGTGCTGCAAGACTTAGTCAAACAATTTGTATGTTTGCAAGACTTAGTCAAAATATTGTTAAGGCTGCAAGACTTAGTCAATAATTGTTAGGGCTGCAAGATTTAGTCAAACAATTGGTAGAGCTGCAAGACTTTGTCAAAACATTGTTAGGGCTGCAGAATATAAAGAAGGTTAGTGAACCCTGTGTTAGTGAATGTTTTGTCAGAAATTGAACATGATGTGTTGTGCACTGATGTACTAACCTTTACTTTGATTTCATTTCAGTGAAACCCTCTCTGCTGTTGAAGAGATTTGATGTAGCCTAGTAGAGCATGAGCGAAGATGGCATGTGGTGTTCTTTGCTAGACATTAGAAAATAGTAGCTGACCAATCCATTTGTTAAGTGTCCTAATGTGTTACCTTTCAGTTGATCTGAAATTGTTTTTACCCTCAATGACTGGAAGTTGAACTATTCACCTTTCTCTGGAAATCTTTGGCAGAAGTGTGGAGAAGGATAATCTTAAAAGCTATGAAACGAGTACAAGTGATGTATAACCACTGGCAGCTTGTTGTATGAGAAAATCAGTTTGAGCTTGCTGTAACAGAATGGGAGTCACTGATGTGCTCCTTGTAACCGAATGGTCAAGTTAATAGGCCATGAACATAACCAGAACGTTTGTTAATTTATATTTGCCAGTGCAGCATGATCTGACCGAGTGTGTAAGTTTGTCAAAGAAATACTTAAGCTCAGGCTCAAAATCAAGTCTTCAGTCATTGGTTTGATTTAACACTGTCATTAATGTTAATTACTGGTTGATACCTAACCATTTTATAGCGCCAATGTGATGGGTGTAAGTGTAATAGATGTAAGTCGTTCAACTTTAAGAGTTATGATTCTGCTGTGCTGAAATCAATTGACGAGACAAATACAAGAAAACTGATGGAAGAGAAGCATTAGCTCATGGGGGGGGGGGGGATAACCGTGACAATGATATTCCCAGACACGTGTCGCTCTAAATTTGTTCATGTAGAGAAATAACTTGGCTACTAAATTGTGCATGTGCAGCATGTTCTTGTATTGTCATTAATTGAACACTGCATGACTGAGAATTCTTGGTACTATTATTATTAACCCCATATAGAAGGATAACAAAACTGAGACCTACTGATATTTAATCTGGTGATGTGTTTATTATTTGATGTACGGTACTTTTGGTCTTGCTATCTTGTTTCTCTTTGAAAAAAATTAAATTTGACATGCCTGTAGTAAATCAGGGGCCAAGTATTTGACACTTTGTTTTCTATTTGTTTGACAATTTCTACTTAAACTTTAATGGCAACTGGTAGTTCAAACAGCCACGGATAGAGCTAGTTAGGTCGCCCTGATTGGCACACTTAATGTCTGTAAGTCGTAAAGAAATTATTCCAAGAGGTTGCCCCAAAAACTCTCTGTCACATCAGGAACATACCAGGCATATCAAATTTAATTTTTCACAGTGGTAGAGAAATGTGAAACTTCAATAATTTTACTTTTGGTTTGGCTGTCCATTGAGGACAGTGGTTTGGCTGTCCATTGAGGACAGTGGTTTGGCTGTCCATTGAGGACAGTGGTTTGGCTGTCCATTGAGGACAGTGGTTCAAAACATTTCCCATTTGTAAAAGGCCATGATTTATAGTTATGTCTAAATACCTCTGTTATAATATGGTCAAAATATACTCCAAGAAATGTATAAAATATTGTAATTCATATTTCATCAGTGGGACCTGTTGTAGAAGGGGTGTCCAACTTTTTATTGTGACGGTACAGGAAACTAGTTTGTTGCACAGCGAAATATTCTTGCACAAATTGACCTAGTTTTACAAGAAGTGCTCATTATTGGAAGTCCAACATCTCAAGCAATCTATTCTCTTTAAACTGTGAGTACACATCAGAAGGCATGGCACTGTCTCAAGAATCATAATTATAATCAGAAGCATTAATGCTTCTTGCTCCATTCAAGAAAAATGTGCAATTAAGCAGAAAACTCCTTCATGATTATTTAGAGTACTGGGCATGTCTCATCAGGTCTATCAGTTGGGCACCCTAAGGCATGTCTCATCGGGCCGATGAGTTGGACGCCCTGGGCAAGTCTCAGCAGGCATACCAGTTGGACACCCCTGCTTAAAACAGGAAATGTTAAATTTACTTGTAAATGATTTTTTTGCTGTTCTTGTTGTTGTTTACAAGACTTCTGTATAATTTTTACTTTCAAATTTCAAAGCTAAACTCTGTGTGAGAACCACTGATCGAGGAACTGCGTCAAGCCAACTCACCAGATCTCCAGCAACAACTCTCTAGGATCTTCACAATAAAAATAAGCACTTGACTTTAGATGGATGTGATGTGCCCGATACATTAATGTGAGAACCACTCTCCCAAAAAACAATGTTTCCCTTAGATATATTTCAGTTAACTTATTTCAAGCTCCAAAATATTTTTATGTACGGTATAGGAAATTATCAGTTATTCTTATAAGATTAAGTTAACTTCTTTTCCATATAAAATTACAAAGATATTTTTACAGAAAAATCTAAGCAGATATCTTTTAAATAAGGCAGATAATATATATTTACTTATAACTGTGTATTCAGTTTGGTTCCTCCTCACTGCAAGAAGAGTTCTTTTGATGTCATTTTATAAGTTACAAATACTGTAATGTTACCCAAACAAAAATTAAAATTCAGAATTTAATGATTTACTAATAGATTAGTTTAAATTTTTTTTTTTAATTCTGAATTTAATTAGAATTCATTAGAGTTCTAGAAGTTATGTACAACTGTTTATCAATAGTGGCATACCATTTTAATTGTAAAGAGAGCAGGGGGCTTTACTGGGGAAAAAGGGGCAAGTTTAGTGGAGGCGGTGTGGAGGCTTTTCATCTTTTAGAATGTTGACTAAATAATTTTTTCAAATACACTAACAGAAATTGAATAAACACGGTACGACGTCATCAAATATTATTAAAAAAACATATGGTTTGATCATATCTTTATTGATGTTATGATTATAATGCTTGGTACATTAGATAAAAAAGACTTGCTTTGGTGAACTGGGAGTACAATATATCCTTCTACACGTTTCAAATCAAGTACAGCTCCAAACCTCAAAAGTATTTGTTTAGGGCAGAGAGGGGCCCAGCCATGGAGCATGCCCACGATGTCACTTACAGGTTTCAAGAAGCATCTTTATCTCAAGTCAGTTCTTTGAATTTGATGTCGCAAACTTGATAATGTCACTCATCTGATGCTGTTGAATTGTCATTGTTTTATCTTTGCTGAACATTTGATGATGTATTCACGAAATTATTTGTTGAATTCAAAAAAAGATGCAGACCAATTTCACTTGGGGAATAATTCATTTGTCAATTCACAAATAAAGGAAATCTATTTTCACTTGGGTTTTGTTTTTCCCCTGTGCAGTTGCATTGCTGTTGTCAAAGTGTTTGACCTGTTCGTTAAAAGTTATTTTTCCCTTTTAATTTAATATGTATTTTGTTGAGGAAACAATGGAAAAACTGCCTTCCCAACCATCATGATTGTGATGAAAAACACAGTTCTTCTAATAATTAAATTATTTTAAAACTATTTTTAATATTAATTTATAGGTATGGCATAAATAATTGCACTCAATATTTTGCTTTATCGCTACCAATACTTCCTTTAAAGTTAAATTGTAAACAAAAATGTTGAAAGTTAATTTAAAAGAAGACAAGTACTATGTAATAGATGCACTGCGCCCCTCCAACAACCGCCATCTCATAGCTCTATCCGAGATAGCAGTGTACTACGTCACAATTATGTTGTCTCATTAATTCGGGTTAAACACAAAAATGCAAGTGTGTTAATTTAATACTACACGTGTTCATTATTTTTTTTTATTTTTTTTATTTACACAATTCCCGCAGGACTAGATCGGGATAAACCTGCAAGGGACACAACTGACAGCCAGAGGCCCATGTTAAGGGTCTCGGATCACTTTGCTTCTATGCCGTGGACTCGCGACTGTTCTTTCAGATAGTATAAGAATCCAATCTCTAAATAGGTTATATACATTCGGGATTTGAAATCGAAACAAGTTTTGCTTGGGCCGTGAGCATATTCAATTCCCAAATTTATTTGACATCACCACTAAATCTTGCCGGCTAATGATGAACACAAAGTAATTGTCACTGGCCAGGATGCTAATTTCCGCACCACTACCCCTCCACTCTGTCACCCCGGCCCCCCCCCCCCCCCCCCCCCCCCCCCCCCCCCCCCCCCCCACACACACACACCGTATCCCCAGCTACTTTTACCGACTACTCCGGTGCAGATCCCCTCGATGGCGACTTAAAGATGGAAGCTTTCACTATGCGAATCTCATTTAATGCCATCAGTGTCCACGGGACGAAAGGGGGGCAATACACGCCCTTTCCTTGTTCGTTAAAAGGCGGAAGAGTTCCCTCTCCTTGGACGAGCTGTCCTCGGTTTTAATCAGATCGAGAGTATTTCCTAGCCGGCGACAAATCAATTCTAATTCGACCCTTCCAGCGGAGATCTGGGCTGAGAAACTTGTCAAAAAGATTTCGTTTAATCACAAAATGGCTGTGCTGATTAACGGTGGAGTTTGAACTGGGACC